TAGGTTTAATGCCTTGAAACCATTTGCATGTGTAATTTGTGAAAACATAGATCCAAGGTATTTAAGATTGTATGTGCACCATAGGATGTTGTAGTATACAAAACCCATCATCCACATCCTCTGAAATCCTTGAAGGAGAAAATGCGGGACCCAAACTGACTAGCGGCTTGATCGGCCCTAAAGATCTGAAGGCGATCCTTCATCAGCTCGATGATACCCTCCTTGATCGACCCAAACATCACCAGGGTCGCATCAAGGAAGCCTCTAGTATCCTTTGATGCAATGGACTCGCGTAATCCCTCATATTTTTGGTTCGGTGCCCGTGCCCGAAGCATATCTAGATCCGGAACCCCCTGCTCCACCACGTGTCACCTTCATGTTGAAACATAATCACATAAATAATCAGTAAACACACAAAGAGGTTCACATTCTCAAGTTTCCCATATTTATTATGGTCTTCTTGTCTCGGGTATAAATCATGTGCTTCCAGTAGTACCAACCCAATAATACCTTCCACACCCATCTATACCTTCCCCAAGGACTACCCCAACTCCTCCAAGTCATTCCTTCTTATCTAATACTCTCCTCATACTACAAGGAGTCCTACATGCCAATACATATTCTAGGAACTTCCTAGGCTTCCTTTCCTCACTACTCCCTGACATCAGCTGTAGACGGAACTCCCCTTAATGCCCTCTAACTAGCTTATGAATACAATTACATACCATCGACACCAGATAATTCTTCGAACAAAAGGTCTCATACTACAACGGTTAGACTCAAACAAGAGCTGCATAATAGAGTTAAAACCTAGCCTTCTCAAATTATCTAGTCTCAATAATATGTAACCTAGCATATTTGCTTACTAGTTAGCTAATGTTAATGGGCACTCCTAAAAAAAGCACAAAGCAAGCAACATTTGAGCATCGAGTAATTAGAATCAAAGCATAACCTAAACATGAAACTTTATCAGATAATTGATCCCATACTGACATGCAATTTTATAAGCTCATACAGTAGGCACATAAGCCATCTCCCCTAGCATTCTATCATGCAATCCTAAGCAGATACTTAGTCCTAATCTAGCATGTAATTCTCATATCATAGTGTAAAACGTAATATATGTATGGGTATTTTGGGAAGACTTACTTGGGCTCAGTTGACTGCACGTATTACACCCCTTTCTTTTATTAAAATCCCTTAATTAAAATGTTTATTTTTATGGAAAAACCTACCAAATCCTTGATTTGAGTCTTGGCACACCCGAGAGAATGACCGAATCCCTCAAACCAACGCTTTGATACCAACTTGTAACATCCCAAAACATCCAGATAAAAGTTTTCATTTCAAACATCCAATAGTCATGCCAAAACAACCAAAAGTGTATCATAATGAAAAATAATATCAGAGTACAAATCCCAACATCATGTGGAAAAACACGGGAGGATGCAGTGCAATCAAGTCGGGCTCTTCCCTTTCGAGCTGGAAGTACCTGAAACATAAACTGAAAACCATAAGTACAAGACTTAGTGAGCTCCCCCAAAATACCCCATACATACATACATAATAGACAAATCACAATTGGGTCTATTTTTAACCCCTTCGGTCTCTTTCAACCGGTACTAGGTACATTTCAACCCCTTCAATCTCTTTCAAATGGTATTGGGTATGTTTCAACCCCTTCAGTCTCTTTCAACCGGTATCGGGTCTATTTCTCCTCTACATCTAACACATAATCATAACAACAAGATTCACATATATATATGCAATACATGAAATTGTCACGAAGACAGTTATCATCCTACCAACATAGTCTAGTGGGCTGACATTGGTGCCTTCGACCCACAAGTAAAAGCAAAAGGAACTCACCTCAGACTAAAGGTATCAAATCACACTCGAGCTGCTAAATTGTGAAATCCTCTCACTAAATAAAAATCAATAAAATCCTAATCAGAAACTAGGTCAATAACCCAACCTGAGAGTCCAAACCCTAAATCCCGACTTTAAGGGTAAAAGGCTGCTTAATCATTCCCTTATTGGGACTAACATACCAAGGACCAAATCTAACTAGCCTAAAGTCCAAAAGGGAATTATAAGCCTAATATGCGCCCAAATCCATAAAGGTCCAACACAACAAGGCTTGCAGCCCAACAAGGGCCCAAATCCCTAAGCCCAAAATCAGCTCGAAACTAAAAGTCCAACAACCACTCTATTGAGGATGCTAAGCATATCATCATTACGTCCGACATACTTGAATGCTTTGTAAAAGTCGGGACTCCAGGCGTGTACATTTAGCGTACCCCCACGTACGTCCGGTGTACGCCACCGTTAGCCATAGATTGCTTTTGAGGTCTTAACTTGTGAAGATCTAACGTCTAACTTCAGATCTAGGCTCATTAAAGCATATTAAGTCATAAAGTTGCAAACTTTATGCTTTTGCATGTCTTAATGGGACTAAAACCATGGATTTAGCATTCTATTTCCCTTAAGTGGTCACCAACTCATGCATAGTTGAGCTTTAACTTCCAAGATCTGTTTTTTTTTACTCCATGCACTCCTAAGTGTTTAAAAGGACAGCTCAAATGGTTTGGAGTAGTCTATACTCCATAAGACCAAAGTCTTGGGGACCAAAACTCCTAAATCTACCCACCAAAAGAGATCTAAGAAAGGAACCATCAAGGTAAGAACTTTTTACCTCCAAAAGCTTGCAATGAAGAAGATAACACTGGATCTTGAAGCTCCAACTCCAAAAATACACCACCACCAAGCTCATTCTTCTTCAAAAACATAAAAGAACACCCAAAAACTCTTAATTTAGGGTTGACAATTCTCGACACGACCCCCAACATGACACGAAATAAATAGGTTTCTGTTGAGTTTTTCAACCCGCTAACCCGCCAACCCGTCAACCCGTTTATTATACGGGTTATATATGGGTTTCTCAAAAAATAAACGGGTTGACCTGCTAACCCGTATATATTTTTAATAAAAAAATATTTTATTTTTAAATGTTATTATATATCAAGTATTAATATTTAATAAGTATTATATAATATATACCATTGATTCATAGACCATTTGACTGTTTTGACATTTTGACTCGTGGTGGATGGCCTAAGGTCGTAAGTCGTAACCTGTAAGGCTAAGTCTGTAACCATTTTACCCATTTGCCCTAAATAATAATCTCAAAATCAATCGTATATGAGCGTATCTCCCTCTTCCAGATTTCCTATCTCCCGCAGTCCCACTCTCCCCTCTGTTACTCTATGATCGAAATCAGGTATCGAAATGGTGTTGGAGAATTGACTTTGTTTTTTGGGATAAAAAATAGGAATTGTGGCTATTACTTTAGGAATTGAATTATCTATGTTTGTATTAATGTTTAGTTTGAACATGTTTCTATGAATGTTTTTAATTTTCATTTGGATGTTTAAGATTTAAGTGTCTAAAATTCGGATATGTTTGTATCAACCATCAAGAATTTAATCATGTTTCATTGTTAATTTTATTTATGGAATCTGACCCATGAACCCAAATCTGACTCAAGAACCCGCCAACCTGTGAACCCGTATAAATAAATGGGTTGGCGGTCATATATGGGTTTATGTTCCAAACCCACCAACCCGTGACCTGTATATTTAAATGGGTCGTGCTTGGGTTGTCATATTTTGACCCGCCAACCTGCGACACGCCAACACGAACACGACATGATTGTCAGGCCTACTTTTAATAAGCTCAAGAACACTCTCAAGATGGCTAGGGTTTCGAGATATGGCTCAAGAGAAAATGGAAACTGATAAGATGAAGGATTGGAGAACCTAATGTGTTAAATAAGGTGCAAACCCTAAAAATTAGGGTTTGTCCCTAACTCACGTACCCCCTACGTACGTATGGGTACACCCAGCATACCACGAGGCTTCTCACCTCATGCATGCATATGAGTACACCCGTCGTACCTTATGTACACCCAGCGTACTCGGGTCCAAGACAAAATTAAATGAATTAATTTGCTAAGAGTTTTACTTAAAAATCGGGCATTACATGTTATGTGTTTGATACCGTTTGTGTCTATATATATATGGGTAAGGCTTGTATGACATGATAACTTGTATGTATGAAATTCACTAAACTTTATGCTTACCCCTTTTCCTTTTAAAAATACAACATGATGGCCGAACATGATTATACACACTGGCACAAGGCGGGTGGTTGGAATTATAATATTGGATTGATTGTGTTTTCAAAAAATTTAGAATTATAAATGATACTGATTTTTTGGAAATTAATTGATCTTGGATTTCGTTTTAATTTAATTTTGAATAAAAGACATTAAATTGATGATTTAGGTTATTTTAAAATGTTCAAATTTATTAGAAATTTGAGATATTACAATGAGCTCCACGGCAATATGTAAGAAGTTGTGTGGCCACACTTGACATGTTGTAGAGAAACCCTTCCTAGCGTATGGCTACGCTTAGAAGCCATACGGGTACGATTCATAGCTCCCACCCTTACTGAATTGTGGTATATAGTTACATCCAAAAGTTGCATCAAAAAACCTCGTTTGTTGGTAGATCACTACAAAATTTCTTTAAAACCTAAAAAGCATATTTTTCATCACACTAAAGCTTTGGAAAGGAAAATTGCATCATAAAATAACGTTAAATACCGAATGTGAATGGTACCGATCACAAAAATGTTAATTTAGTTTCGATTAGGGACCAAATTTGCAACAAACACCAAGTCTGGACCAAAGATGTTGTTTTTACCAAATGTAGGGGAGGAAACATGCTTGATTTTAATATTTCACCATACCAATGTTTACCTTGTTCTATTATCTTGATGGTTAATCTTTTAACACACTATTTTCCTTTCTTTATAAAGAGATTTTGTAATTTAGCCTCAAATAAAAGTTAGGAGAAATACGGGTATGTGGGCAATATCTCGGCCCACATCGCACAACTACTGAATTGCATTAGGATGACCTACAAATAAAATAACAGGCAGGCTTCTTTTCCCTTCTCTTTTCGTCTCTTTTTTCTAACTTCCTCCCTCTCATATATCCCTGCGATTTTCCTTTAGGTAAAGAAATTATAAGAGGGATCTGATGTACTTTCTCGTGGATCTCAACTACTCCATTGATCATGACTTCAATACAAACCAATCAAGGTTTGATATGCGAACCTAGATTTTTATATGTTTAATTGATTTTTAAGTGTGTTGTTGCGTTTTAAGTTCTCTTAGATGAATCGATACTGGAATTCTACGATCCATGAATGGAGTTTACGGGTTTCGTTTGACGAAGTTCACCATATTTATCGTTTTGGTTGATTATCTTTCGGTGACAGTTAGCTAGATAGTCGTAATAGGGCTTTTTGGACATGGGTTGAGCATCTTTTTTTTTTTTTTTTTTTTTCCTTTTAAATTTAATCGAATAAGTGGTTTAACTATCAGGATGATTACAACCCTTTTGTAGTGCAACTATTTTACTATGTTTATGTGATGGAGATGATTCTGGATGAAGTTACCCTAGCATTATCGGAAACCTAGAGAAATCCTGCACTTTACTTAAAAGTTTTTGTACATTCTTAAGGTTCTTTGATTTAAGGAATCATATATTCATCCTGTTTTGGAGTGCATCCTAAACACCCTTTTGAATCCCCCCTGTTTTAGGCTTAAGATAGTATGAAGAGAGAAATACTTAAGTAAAGATATGACTCTATATGGATGAGCAAAGAAGTGTCCATTCAATAAGACAGTTATTCTATGCATCTTAGGTGCTTTTTCTTTATGACTTAATAGTCTTTATGAGGACAAGACTTAATCCATTAAGTCTTAACGTTTTACAAGTTTTCCTTCACCTCTCATCTTTGCAAGTGTCATGTCATTGTGTCAAATATATTTTAAACCTTATTAATCCAGACAACAGTTAATAAGAAAAAATATTACTCGTTATTAGGTTTTCTTGATTTGTGAGTTGAAGCAATTGATAGTACTCATCTGCCCATAACCCCAATTATCTGATTCTTCCATCTAAAAGTGTTTCATCATTCTAGATGATAAACATCAGAGGCTATTCTCGTTCCAAATTAACCCTTTTTTTATTTTTCTTTCTTTTTATGTTCATTAAGCTTTGTCCCCAAGTTGATAGAATTCTACCATTGAACTGAATCCGAATGTGTAAATACACACACTTGATGCTAATGAAAGAACTAAAACTGAATGTTGGATTCAGCTTTATTTTTGTTATAAAGCTTTGAACTTAGGAGGTTGTGCATATGTGCCTTTTCCATCCTCATTGCATATCAGCATAAATTTCTTGGGATTCTTGCAAACATATCCTACAGTCTTTATGTTGTTCAGGTGTAAACCTATGTAATATCATTAAAAATACAATATGTGAACATTTAACCATAAGAAATTAGAACGTTTTATATTAAATACGACTAAACTACCTTACAATTAACCAATTACAACACAATAGTAGAAGAAATTTCTAGGAACTATAAATTTGGTAAGTGTGATATTTATTTCCACTAATATTCTAGCTTGATCTTACTACTGTTGGAGACAAAAACAGTATATGTAGCATAATACAATAATTTGAATACGCATATTGTTGACCATAATACCCCTACCCTAAATATGTAGCATTATTTGTGTAAGCTAATTCAATACAACTCCAATTAGTTTATAAGCCCAAGAACATGACATAACATGTTGTGCTATCTTCTAATTGTACTGTTTCTTGATATCTTGTTTGTGCAAAAGACGTTTATGCCCTCATCATCAGAATTATCCTACATAATGTGGAAAACCATTTCCCTTATTTTCTCTATTAAGCTGTTCTTTATGTATCAAGTCAAAAAGAAACACATTTAAACTAATTATTTAATGACTTTAATCACTTATAAATATTCTCTGATTGCAGAAACAATGCAAAAGAACTGTGAGGCTCCGACATCGGGCCTCCAGACCAATGGACACCCGCCACCTCAGCAATACACAGGGAGTCCTACAGAAGGGTTTATAGAACCCCAAAATGATGTCTACACTGAATTACTCGATTCTTCAATTGAGTCCAACAAAAAACCTGCATATCTCAGTTCATGGTCTTGGCATCCAGATATTAAAAAAGCACAAGTGTGCCACTTAAATAGCATTGAAGGACAATTTTACCCTTTCTTGGTGAACAACCGGATTCAATATGCTCCATTTACCATGTTCCCACAAGGGTACCCTTGTGATTATAATCAGCATCAAGAGTTTCATTATTTTGTGGTGATTGATTTTGAAGCTACTTGTGATAAAGAAAGAAACCCTCATCCTCAAGAGATTATCGAGTTTCCTTCAGTTATTGTTAGTAGTGTCACTGGTCAACTTGAAGCTTGTTTTCAAACATATGTTCGCCCTACTTGTAATCAGCTTTTAAGTGATTTTTGCAAGGATTTGACTGGAATTCAGCAAATTCAGGTATATTTTCATATTCATATGATTGTGTTTCTTACTGATTTAAGTAAAAAAAAAAAAGAAATACACATGATCATGGAATGTATTACACTTATTCCATTTGTAAAGAGAAAAAATCATCAGTTGTAATCAAATAATGTATAGAATTAAGTTAAACTATACATTTTTCTTTACAAATTATATGAAACTTTTATGTGAAGATTCATTCTATTCCTCCATGCTAACAAAATACGATCATGGAATGGAATCACTCATTGCATTCCATTGCTTTTTCCATTGTCTGTTCGTTTCATTCTTTCTTCATTCCATTCCATCCAACATGAACTAAATTTGTTGATACTGTTTTCTTTTGTCTACAATAAATGATGTCAACCATAGTTTTTCTAAACCACAATTTTATTCAAGGGTTAATCTGATAAAAGACCTTATATTTTGTGTTTTTTCCGGATTAAAACCTCAACTTTATTTTTTTCATGAAAAAGGCCTTGCATTTTTTTCGTTTTTTCCGATCTTGCCCTTTTAGTCATTTTTCTCTAAAAAAAAGTTGTAAAATGTGAGGGTTTTTTCAGGAAAAACTAAAAAGTTGAAGGTTTATTTGGAAATAGTTAGAAGGTTGAGTGTTTTTTCGGAAAAAAAAGACAAAGTTGAGGGTTTTTTTCCGGAAAAAATGAAAATTATAAGGTCTTTTTCATGATAAAAATAAAGATTAGGTTTAATCCAGAAAAAAAAAACACAAAATATAAGGTATTTTCTGAGATTAACCCTTTATTCAATTGCAACTTCCTTTATACTGTTATATACTATTTTAAGCATCAACATTTCACCTTTTTACACATTCAATCAGCAATCTTTCACCTTTAAACCAATTTATGTAGTAACTATATATTTCACCTTTTTGACCATTTTAAAGAGTTGAAATGTTGTAGATTTTGATTGCTTTGTATATCCTGAACATATTTTATAAAAAAAAACAGAATGAAGATATATGATGTAGGTTTATTTGTTAATGGCAGGTGGACAGAGGAGTTACTCTTAGTGAAGCTCTTCTTAGGCATGACAAATGGCTTGAGAAGAAGGGAATCAAGAATGCCAACTTTGCTGTTGTTACTTGGTCAAACTGGGATTGTAGAGTCATGTTGGAATCAGAATGCAGATTCAAGAAAATTCGTAAACCTCCTTATTTTAATAGGTAACTATCTCTTTTTTATCCCTTTTGTTTTTTATCACATTAGGAGATAAAGTGTTGCTTGTTAAATACTTGGGGAAATGGAAGGAAAAGATAAATGAGGACAGATTTGTAAAAAGTTAGGAGTTAAGAGATTGTTTCTTTTTAATTTAATAGGTTGCTTAATGGGTTAAGCACGAAATTTGGTTTTGGGAATGTAAGGGTATAATGGTCATTTTGTCTCATTCAGACGGTTTATTTAGTCTAGAATAAAACAACCCCTTCTTTTCCTGACTTTATATGATAGGTCATTTTGAGTTTGTCTTGTATAACTTTTTACTAAAGTAGTGATGTCCAAAAGAGACATTTAACCAAAAACTAAGCTAATTTTATAAAGTTGTGATTTTGGTTTTTTCAATTTTAAAAACCAAAACTTTAGCGCTGGTTTGGTTTTTGGTTTTAAAAAGAAAAATTAAAACCAAAACAAATTGTGTCTTGATATAATTTTGTCTTTAGAACATATAGATTTATTGCTTGATTAATGATTTAAGGTTTTTTAGTTTTCATTGCATTCGATTTGGTTGTGTTTTCTTTTTTGCTGTTATATATTGCTAAATCAAATACTTGTTAAAGCTTTTATGGATTTTGAAATTGAACTAAAACTTGCAATATAACCTTCTTTATCTATGTAAATTATTAAATAATTGTTCAAACAAGTTTCATGATTTTAATTATATTACTTGTTTATTTTCTAAAAGTTACTAGAAAGTATACTTTTTAGTATCATTTTATTTGGGTTCTTATAAGCTATAATAAACTGTATATTTTTTTTAGATAAAAAATTCATAATAATGTGTAGAGTAGATATAAAACTATACCTTGTATTATATAACATAAAAAGGGTTACACCTTAAATCAATAATCATTTTCTTTACCTTTTTATAAGCTTCATTTCTTTCTATTACAACATTGTACTTCGAAAAACCTATACCCAATTATAGCAATGTTATATATATGAAATTTGTCATTCCATTCCATCCAACTGATTCCATTCCATCCAACCAAACAGACCCTTAACTTGTTTCTTGTATTTTTTTTTGTTGCCAGATGGATCAACTTAAAAGTCCCATTCTGTGAGGTGTTTGGTGGTGCAAAATGCAATCTAAAGGAAGCAGTCCAGCTGGCGGGTCTGTCATGGCAAGGGCGGGCCCACTGTGGTCTAGACGACGCCAAAAACACCGCCCGCCTACTCGCGGTCATGATGCACAAAGGCTTCAAATTCTCCATCACCAATTCCCTAATGTGCCAAGCCACCGACCACCACCCTTTCATCTGGAAACAACCGCCACCCGGCCACCACCACCACCACCCTTTCCCGCCCTTCCACCACCACCACCCACCACACAAACCAAAAGACATCCATTTCCTTCCCATCTTCCACCACCCTTGCTGTTACTGTGGGGTCAAAAGCAGCAAAGGGATGGTCAGAAAACCGGGGCCCAAACAGGGAAGTTGCTTTTTCGGGTGCGGGAATTGGACTTCTGCCCGGGGTGCCCGGTGTCAGTTCTTTGAATGGGCTTAGTGTGAAAATGACGATTCTACCCTTGGTGGTATGAAAAATGACAGAAATACTCTACTTCTACTTCTATACCCTTTACCCTTGGTGGTTTTGGATAAAAGCTTATTTGTGTACTTTCGGTTTTTGTAAAAAGAACAAAAAAAGAGAAAAAAAATGGAAGGAGGGGAAAAAAAGGGATTTGGAGTGTTGTGTGGGGGGTTTGTTTGAAAAGTAAATATTTTTTATGGTTGGGTTTAAAGTGATGATATGTGATAAGTGTAGGGTGCAGGAGTGGAAAATTTAGAGATGTGGAAGTGTGTGAGGATTTGGTAGGTTTTAGTAGAGTTGATGGGGGTGGTTTTTATCATTATTATTATTATTATTATTATTATTATTATTATTATTATTACATGGCTAATGATCTAAAATAATACATGAAGTGAGGATAATGGTGCTTGGTTATTGCCTATAATACCTATGATGATGCTTATGATGCTTTTTGGGAGCTATTTCATGTGTTTTTTTTTCTTTGTTTCATTGTTTGGATTTATTTGCAGTTTTGTAAGTGTATGATTGATGAGACAACTAAAATTTACTTTGATTTGATTTGCTTTGAACTTAGTTTTAAATTAGTAAAAAGCTCCTCTATCTCCATGTATCGCCTTAAAAAGCTCCTTAATCGTTTTAATCCAAGTCCTTACCCATTGAGTCGTGACGCTTTAAGACATCATGCCTTTAGCAACAAAATTTTATAAGTGTAAAGATATGAATTTATGATTAAATAAATCCAAGCATGTCTTCTTTTCCCTTGATGGTCTCCTTGGATTTTTGTTATAAAAACGAAGAAGCTAGTTTTTTAAAAAACTCTTCTAATTTATATAACTTCTAAAGACATATAATCCATATAAGAACACCCCTTATTTTATTCCAAAATATGTACATGACATTATAAAGCCTACCTTATGATATATTTTGATACATATATGGAAATACTATTATTTTCCTAAAATAAATAATTTCCTATTAATTACAAGAATTATACTTATTTATCAAGAATCAAATTATTATAAATAATAAATTTGTATCAATTTGTTGTTAATGTGTCCCTTTGTTGGATTTTATACATAGCAAACAATCTTATGTGTGCATGCAACCCTAATTTGAGGATCTATGTTTTCACTATTAGAAATACAAGCATTGAACACAAAAACTAGAAACCCTAGGAGGCACATGTAATTTTCAAAATTAACATATAATTAGGGTTAGGATACATACCTTTATTGTTATATTTTAATAACAATGAAATCCTTGAAGATCTTGAACTTTGGTAGCAAGCACCACAAGTGTCGTGCCTCTAATGGCTCACAAACAAACCTAGCAATCAATGATTACTATGGAGAGAGAGAGAGAGAGAGAGAGAGAGGAAGTGAAAATTCGGCTCTAAGCCTTTCTTAGAGTGCATGAGATGAAATCCAACCCTATAGGGGTTTATATAGGTGATTAGGAAGGTTTAGGATAAGGCAGTTATATCTTAGATAACCCTAATCCCTTAATGTCACACCCCCGAACCGTCTGAAACAAACGGCGGAAACGTCCGGGGGCAAGTGACGTCATGCGTAGTATCACAATAATCATATCATAGCTGTGACAACCCGGAATTTCCATTTTGTATAAACAATAACACTTCAATAGAAGTTATATCAGTTACAGTAAACTTTCAGACTTTTCCGTATAAGTTTGAGTAATTTAGGGACTCGTATATGGGTGTATTTGGGACATGAAAACATCAAAGAAACACAAATGTTTGGGTGTTCACGGCCCAAGAGGATCTTGGACCATGAACTCCAAAATCTTGGACCAAAGTGTGTTTTTAAGACACCTAAAGCCTTGGAGATTTACTAGGAATTGTTCCCACTTAATTCAAGGACCAAAACACATCAAAAACACCCCTCAAAGTGAGTTCATGGCCCTAATAAGGTTCTTGGGCCGTGAACATCAAACAAAGGTACCAAAGTGTGCCTAAGGCCTTCATATGCTTGGGATAAAAGTCTAAGATCCATACCACATGTGCAAGAGACTTGAAAGCATCAAAAACACCATTCCAAGGGAGTTTACGGCAGTAAACTCCAAAGGAAATGGCCTTAGGGCCGTAAAATCCTCTAAGGAGTGTTTCTATGCCTTAAACCCTTCCAAGAATTAAACCACCAAGTTGGAATACTTCTAGGGATCATTTAACACCTCAAAACAACCAAGAACATTAAGTCTTGGAGTTTACGGCCGTAAAATCAAGAGTTTACAACCGTAAACTCCATGTGTGAGGTTATTTGGAAAGTAAACTCAAGTATAGGGTCCTTTGGAACCCTAAACCCAAGTGCCTTGTCCCACAATAGCTTAGATGCAATCCTTAGGGCTTATAACACTTATATAAAGTGTTTATTATGTTCTAGGATGTCTTAACATTATCAATTAGTAATTTAAGACTAATTGAGTGCATATATGTGTGATTATATGTTCATTAGGATGGTAGTGTGTGTACAAGTCCTCACCTGACACCTAACAATCCTACACCGTCCAGTTCATCCAAACCACCATCTACAGGTGAGTTCATACCCCTAATCAATGTTTTAAACGATTTTAAATGCTTTAATGGGGGGGGGGGGGGGGGGGGGGGAATACAAGCAGAAAACAACATGTTATTAAATCACTCATATGTATTTTATAATCGTGTTTTCATCCAACAGATTTCACATGCTACAAAATGTGATGCATGAAATGGTTTTCTATCTTAAAAATACCTTGATAACAAAAGTATTAGTTTTGAAATGTTTATTAACATGAAATCAAGTCACTCTTAATTATTATTCAAAACTCTTAGATATCTTGCAAAACCATTACCTTTACCTTCTTGAACAACCAATTACCTTTCAGTTAATTATCATAAGGATAGTTAAAAGAAACAAAATATTATTCCTATTACAAGGAATCACACAAGAGTTAGTTCATTCATGAGTCTATACCACTACATTACCTGATACATGAGTACATCTACATATGCTTATATGATACATGAACATGTTTACATAAACTTACCTGATACATGAACACACTTACATGAATACCATACATGAACACTGTTACATAGATGCATTATCCTGTATTCACTTACCTGGATACTCGTATCATGACTTGAGAGGATGATTTATTAGTACTTTCTATGTAAATTATCTTTCCTATCCCGGTTCAATGGGATATCTAGGCGGGACTAACTATTCCGAATCCCACTGATTAGCACCAGTGGTCGATGACCATCTACGGAGGTCTAAGGTTACTACATATACTAGGTAGATCGATATCGGAACTAACCATTCCTCCATCCTGCTGTTGCAACAGAGGATGAGATGAAAATCTTCGAATGATCATTAGGTTACTATTTATATTAGGTAGATCAATATCGGGACTAACCCTTCCACCCATCTGCTGCTGCTACAGAGGACAAGTGGACAATCTTCGGATGTTCATTAGGTTATACTTTTCGCTTATTGCGATGTTGTGTTACTCCTAGTACCCAGTGACAACACTTACATTAGTACATTTTCCTGTTTACTTTATTTTGTGATACTTTCACATAAACGATGAGTTAGACTAAGTACTTTAGTAATAGTTAATAGAAGGAAAAACTATCATTTTACTTACAAAACATTCGGGTCTTGTTTGAAGACTACATTTCATAATAATAGAAAATAAGGGATTTTCTAGGGCTTTTCATACTTATATCAACATTTTCATTTAAAGGTTTACATGACTTTTAAAACAACTTTTCAAAGCAAGTCAATGACACTTAAATACTTATGAATTCACCAGCTTTAAAGCTGATACTCTCTTTCAAAATAACTTGTATTCTCAGGTCATCAGTAGACAGGTACGGTGGCCAGGTTTTGAGAAGACGGAGCAGACAAGTCTCGTCTTTTATTTTGATTATATTTTTGGTGTCTTATTACAATGAAAGAACATACATGTATTAAAACTTTACTTATAATGCAATGGATGATGTTGTTGCTTGTTTACTATTTTACACTGTTGTGATACTGTACATGACGTCCTCCACCCCTGAACGTTTTCGCCGTTCGTGGTTTTAGGGTGTGACAATAGCAATCAAAGTAAACACAACCATTACATTACAATATGAATATTTTTCATCTGTTTAAAAACATAGTTTGTATACATCAGTATATAACAAAAGTAAAAGATGCGACTCTAACGTACTCCATCTTCTCCAAAAGCTGGTAAGTATACCTGTCTATCGTTGTCCTGAGAATACAAGCGGTTTTAAAAACATATCAGCATAAAGCTGGTGAGTTCATAAGCATGTTTTTGTATTGAAAACTAGTCACTGAATTTGTACAAATAATTTCTTTTCATTATAAGTAAAATATTGTTTGTATCGAAACCCTAGTCAGTCACCAGTAAGTAAAATGTATTACGTTTGAAAGCCCGGGCTACAACCAGTAATTGATGTGTGTTACGTTTGAAAACTCTGGTTACCACCAGTAAATGATGTATGTTCTATTGAAAACCCTGGCTACCACCAGTAAATGATGTATGTTCTGTTGAAAACCCTGACCACCACCAGTAAATGATGTATGTTCTGTTGAAAACCCTGGCTATTGCTAGTTTTTAAGGTAGTTTTATTACTTAAAATAAAACCAAAGGTTGTGTCCCTGGAATACCCTCCAGTGTAGTAAGTAGGTAGTCTTATTAATTAAAATAAAAACTATTGAAGAAGGAAAATCCCGTAAACAAAGGTTAGTTATACTATTATGAGCTCGCATAACCATGCTAATGTGATTGATAACCTCCACGACGTTTCTTCAGGCATCGTATGTTACAAAATTTGTCACCCCAGGCATGCCTGCCTAACTGTAGCTAACAATTTAGGTGTGGGATTGTCGATCCCGAATAGAGCTATTCACAAATTTCACGCTCTCCCTCCACAAGACTCTGACTATACTAAATGTAGAGGATTTGCCAGTACCCCGAATGGTACAATGAAGAGATGTCTCACAATCCTGAATTAACTAGTTTACATGTTGTTTTGTTGTTCTCGTGTTTGAAATCGTTTGTATACAGTGTAGAGTATAAATAATTATACGCAAAATAAATACTTAGTAAAATACTCTTGTTTTCTGTATGTAGTATTGAATAAATTAAATCTATCATAGTTTATATGTTTGTACGTTTGAATCAGTAAAACCGGTAATGAATTCCCCAAACTATACCTATTATACTTTGACTGGTAAGTTGTATTCATGTACTGTTCTGAAAAACTATGCAATCATGTTTAGAAAACGTCCCTTATGCTCCGCATATTACAAAAGGGATAAAGTATCTAAAATCGTTGTTGCATCTGTT